CAGGACTGATTTTGAGAGTCTTTCTGCAGCCAAGGCATTGTTTGTGTAAACAAAGGGTATTGATTTTTGTGTGTTGATTTTATATCCTGCAACTTTACCAAACTCTCTCATGAGTTCCAATAGTTTGTTAGTGGAGTCTTTGGTTCTCTCTATATAGGATCATGTCCTCTGCAAACAGGGATAGTATGACTTCCTCCTTTCCAGTTTGTATCTTTTTATTACTTTTTCTTGCCTAATGGCTCTGGCTAAAACTTCCAAAACTATATTGAATAACAATGATGAAAATGGGCATTCTTGTCTGATTCTCAATTTTAGTGGAAATGCTTCCAGTTGATCCCCATTCAGTCAGTATGATACTGCTGTGGTTTTGTCATACCTTGTTTTGAAGTGTTGAGGAAAGTTTCTTTTATACCCAATTTGCTTAAGTTTTTTTTTTAATCATGAAATGATATTGAATTTTATCAAATGCTTTCTCTGCATCTATTGACAAAATCATAGTTATTATTCAATTTGTTAATATGATGTATCACATTTATTAATATGCATATGCTGAATCATCCTGCATACTGGCAATAAATCCCACTCAGTCTGGATGATCTTTCTGATGTGTAGTTGGATTTGATTATCTAGTATTTGATCATGATTTTTCTATCTCTGTTCTTCAAGGATATTGGTCTATAGTTTTTCTGTGTATCTTTTCCTGGTTTTGGAATTAAGATGATGCAGGCCCCATTAAAGGAGTTTGGGAGAATCTCCTCCCTTTCATTGTTTTGAATAGTTTGAGAAGAATTGGATTAGTTCTTTAAAAGTTTGGTATAATTTGGAAGTGAAGCCATCTCATCCTATGATTCTTGGTTGGGAGGATCTTTAGTACTGATTCAACTCTGTCTTGCTTATTGGTCTATTTAGGTTTTCTATGTCTTCATGACTCAGTTTTGTTAGATTGTAAGTGTAAGTGTACAGGAATTTATCCATTCTAGATTTTCTAATTTGTTGGCATAAACTGTAGTAATTCCCAATGATTCATTTTATTTCTGTGCTATCCATTGGAACATTTTCTTCATCTCTGATTTATTGTTTTGGGTCTCTTTTTGTTTTCTTTTTTTTTTTTTTTTTTTTGTTAGTTGGGCCTATGGCATATCAATTTGATTTTTTTAAAAGACAAGCTCTTCATTTCACTGATCTTTTGAAGTATTTTTTGGCTCAATTCTTTTAATTTATTCTCTAATTTTAATTATTTCTTTCCTCCTACTAATTTGGGGTTTTGTTTGTTCTTGTTTTTCTAGGTCCTTTAGATGCATTAAAAGATCACTTATTTGATATCTTCCCTATTTTATGATGTAGGCACCAATTGCTATAAACTTCCTTGTAAATACCCCCTTTTTGCTATATCCCATAAGTTTTGATATGTCATGTTGTCATCTTCATTCATTTATAGGAATTCTTAAGTTTTCCTTTTGATTTCCTCTATGATCCACTGTTTACTCAGAGGCATGTTGTACAGTGCCCATGTGTTTGCACATTTTTTACAGATTCTTGAGTTGTTAATTTCCAGCTTCATTCCATTGTGGTCAGAAAAAATACATGGTATGATTTCAAATTTTTTGAAATTTTGATACCTGCTTTGTGGCCTAGCATATAGCATAACTTATAGAAAGTTCCATGTACTGATGAAAATAATGTGTATTCTGCAACTGTGGGATGAAATGTTCTGCAGGTATCAATTACATCCATTTGGTCCATAGCATGGATTAGTTCTCTTGTTTCCCTGTTGATTTTCTATATAGTTGATCTGTCCATTGATTAAAGTGGGGTGCTGAAGTCCCACATTTTTATTACACTGGCGTCTATGTCTTATCTCCCTTTAGATCTATTAACATGTTTTTTAAATAGTCTGGTGCCCTGGCATTGAGTGCATATATATTTACTATAGTCACATCTTCCTGTTGAATTGGTCCCTTAATCATTACATTATGTCCTTCTTTGTCTCTGTTAACCATTTTGTATTAAAGTCCATTTTGTCTAATAGTATGAAGGCTACACCAGCTCTTTTTTGCTTTCTGTTAGCATGGAATATCTTTTTCCAGACTTTCACTTTCAGTCTGTGTGTATCTTTTTTGCTGAAGTGTGTTCCTTGCAGGCAGCAAATAGATGGATCTTGTTTTTTAATCCATTCAGCCAATCTGTATCCTTTAATTGGAGAATTTTGGCCATTTACATTCAAGGTTATTATCTACGAGTAGCAACAATGTCCTGCGATTTTTTCATAAATATTCCTATAGTTTGCTTTGGATTACCTTTGTACTTTTACTACGAGATTTTCTGCCTTCACATTCTTTCATAATGATGACTACCATTCTGTTTCTATGTGTAGCACATCTTTAAGAATTGTATGTAAGGCTTGAGTGTAAGGCTTTCAATTTGTGTTTGTCTTGGAAAGTCTATTTCTTCGTTATATATTAGTAACAGCTTTGCTGCATACAGTATTTCTGGATATAGTGACACAGTTTTTTTCTTTTGTGACTTAGACTATGTCTCTCCAGTCTCTCCTAGTCTGTAGGGCTTCTGATGAGAAATCAGTTGTTAATCAAATTGGGGAACCTTTGAAGGTAATCTGCTATTTCTCTCATGTACATTTTAGAATCCTGTCTTTATGTTTTACTGTTCAAAGTTTGACTATAGAGGCTGGTGTTGTGGCATATAGGTTAAGCATCTGCCTGCGATGCCAGCATTGTTACGGTGCTTGTTCAAGTCCCAGCTGCTCCACTTCCAATCTAGCTCCCTGCTGATGGCCTAGGAAAGCAGAAGATGGCCCAAGTGCTTGGGCCCCTGCATCTACATGGGACATTCAGAAGAAGCTCCTGGCTCCTCTCACCTTGTTCCTAGAAGGTGGCATCTCCTCCAGCCCCTAGCTGCAGGAGTCACCAGTGGCGTCCTTGATTGCTGCTGCATGTTCATACTGTCCACACTGCATCAAAGCATCTCGCTTCTTTCTGTAGAATTTCCACTGTAAACTTCTCTCCAAGTCTCCCCTGGGAATGCACTTCCTTCCTTTTCTTCTGTTACCTTCCTATGGTCAAACTCACCATATCTTTCCCTATTCAGCCATCTTGGATTCCTCTTACCACATGTTATACAGCCAAACTTTTCTTCTTTTAAGATTTCTTTATTTATTTGAAAGTCAGAATTACACAGAGATAGGAAGAAAGAGAGAGAGACAGACAGACAGACGGGTGTGTGTGTGTGTGTCTTCCATCACTGGTTCACTCCCTAAATGACTGTAATGGTCGAGGCTGGGCCAGGTCAAAGCCAGGAGCCAGGAGCTTCTTTCAGATCTCCCACATGGGCACAGGGACCCAAGCACTTGGGCCATCTGCTACTTTCCCAGGAACATTAGCAGGGACCTGAATTGGAAGTGTAGTATCAGGTCTCGAACCTGTGCCTATATGGATGCTGATGTTGCAAGCAGTGGCTTTACCTGCTATGCCACAATGCTGGCCCCTAAACTTTAATTTTTAAACCCTCAGACATAATGTAAATTTTTTATTAGGTGAAAGTTGGTTGGATAGATAGAAAGTGAATTATCAATTTATCATAGGTAACCTAATACGCTGGACACTTTTTTTCAAAAGAGAGCTAAACGATTTTTAAAAATCTCATTCACATTAACAACTTGCTTCATTATTTCCATATTGAACTAACATGTTCCAAGTGACAAAAGGCAAAACCTAATCTAGAACTATCATTAATTAATTTCTTTTAAAAATTTGATGCCTACAAATTTGGATTTGAATTTTGCCAAAGTAATCCAGGATGGAGCTCCTGACTCCTGGCTTTAGCCTGGCCCAGCTCCCACCAATGTAGCCATCTGGGGAGTGACCAGCAGATGGAAGATCTCGATCTCTCTGTTCCTCCCTCCTTTTCTGTCACTCTGTCAAGTAAATAAATAAATGTTTTTTTTTAAAGGTGTCTTTGCATTTATGTAAAAAATAATTTAGGTGATAGAAATCATATAATCAAGGGAATTAAAATTATTTTAGTTAATAGTAGCAAATCTGATAAAAGGATACATAATGTATTCTATCTGAGTTTGGGTTCTAATCTCTCTGAGCTTCTCAGCACCTTCCCATATTGACCACCATTCTCCTTTCTATAAATTTAATTTCTCCTTTTCTATCAGTGCTGGCTTTTTGGTTTTGCTTTTATTTTTTTATTTTATTTTATTTTTTTGCAGTATATAAATAAGCTCAAGTTTCTGCATTTGAAGGAAAGAAAAAAAAACAACACCCAACAAATTCATTTCTTATCCAGGTGCTTCCCCTCTAGCACTCTACTAATTTTCATACCAGCCTAAGCTATTTTAGCAAGGATGCTCAATTGTATTTCTGTTCCCTCACTGATCACTTATTCCTCAGTTCTGCTATCCAACTTCCATTTCTACCATTCCACTGAAATAGCATTTTCGAAGGTCACCAATATCATGTAAGAATACATGAGTATGTGTAGAGTCAGTGTTTAATATGCCAGGAAGAAAAATTTGGGAGTTTATTGGTTCATTCATACATTCTACAAATACCTCTTTAATGCATACCATAAAGCCAGATGCTGTGTTATGTGTGTTTGGAGGCATAAGTGAACAAAACAGACTCCTTGTCCTCCTTGGAGGTTGCATTCTAGCAGGTGGAGAAAGACTTTTAAATAATAAATTTAACAAATAAACCTGTTGTGTTTGAATGTTCTCAAGGGCATGGAGGAAAAAGAAGGCAGAAAAAGTGAAGAGATATGAGGCATATGAAGTGGAAAGAAGGGGTACCATGGCAACATTAAGCAGGGTGGTCAGACTTGGCCACTCTGAGAAGCTGACAGGTGCAAAGTCTTGAATTAAGGAGGACATGTGAAGTCTGAGGAGTCTTACTGCAATACCAATTTAAGTGTTCCACTTTCATCCCTTAATATTATTTAAAAATAGAGAAATAATTTTAAAAATGCTTATAAGCTACCTTAACAGCTGGGTGGACACCACTGTCAAAGAGAGCTTCATTTTTGATGATGTTCCCTACTCCAGGCAACACTTTTTGATCCAGTAGCACATCACATAGCATTCGACCTTTCTGCTTTATTATTTCAGTTTCTGCTCTTGAGAAACTAAACTTTGGTGAACACACATCTAATTCTTCCATCATTCTTATTCTCTGTTGGCTTTCCATTGAGTTTCTATAGAAAGGAATATAAAAGACATTGATTACAAATCTTGCTACAGTTTTACAAAGCATTATTTAAGATGAGTTTTGAGCTAAATATATAAACTCCTTATGGTTACCAGAGTATAAGAAATACATGAGCAAACAACAGAGAACCTAACAAATTCTATTACTAGGCGGCTCTTTTAAAATGAGCTCTTGCCAATTGTAAACTACTCATTTATTTATTCAGCAACACATATGATATCCCAAACTAAACTGTGGATCTAAGCTCTGTAGTTTTGCAGCAGCTGGAATCCTTTTTTTTTTTTTAATTTTTTTTTTTTTACCTGAGTTCTACTGATGAGTCAAAGAAACAAATCAAATCTTTGGTGAGCTGCACTTCAAAAACAGGAGGAACTCCATTTTTGTTTTTATACTCAAGTGGATTGATCTTGATGAAACCCTTCATTCCAAAATGAATCCTGAAACAAAAGCAAACTCATTTTTGAGAAGGAGATAGTATATCATGTATCAAATTTTTTCCCTTTTTTTGTATTGTAAGTAAACAAATGTTAGGGTAGCTCCTTTAAAGAGAAAAATGGTAACTATCATTGTATATTTTCTTATAGTTTTATATCTTTATAAATCTAAAAGATGTGACAATCAGTTTTTTTCTACCCACAAATAAAATAACTTCCTAGAGAAATAAGCAGCCCCCCAACAATAAGCCCAAGAAAACATATCCTGTTCTTCTCTTGCAAGATGAAGTATCTTTTATTCACAGAACAGTCTAGCATCTCTTGGCATTTTCTCAGATTGAAAGGCTTGAGATAAGGCTAAATTTAAATTGGCTATAGTGTGGGTTTTTATAAATTCTATAAAGCCACTAACATTCAAATTCCTTATTTCTAGCCACAATGAATTGGAAATGTCTTCCCACTGCAAAATAATATCTACAGTTTAAGACGTTCTTTTCTTTCCCACTGCTTTGTGGAAGGATGAAATGAAACAATTTTTTGTAAAATCTTATGTTATCCAAAGAGAGAGAGAGAGAGAAAAGTCAAATACTATTGTCTTCAATTCTTTTCATCTTCTTTTACCTTTCTATGTAATGGAAACAGAAGATTTATAAATATTTACAGTTAAGTTTAAAACCACAATGCAGTGGTGAAAAATTCATAACCTTTTAGATTTTATAGGATTTATTAGCATGTCCAGTTTTTTTTTTTTAAAGAAGCGTTTTTGTGAGACCTCTGGTAATGAAGATCAAAAATGATTCTCAAGATGAAATACTGTGTTCTGCCTTTCAAATCCTTCTCCTTATAGCTTTGCTGAGTTAATAAATACGGGTCTTTTGGCAGCAAATGTTACTGCTCTGCGTTACTAATTCCAAAGCACCATGTTCTAGCATTGTACAAGGTTAACCAATCTAACTTTAAAAATGTGGGTTTTAAACTCTGTGTGCCCTACTATCAATCATAAATGCATTTTACAGGCCTCATAGTTCTTGACAGGAAAAATGTGTGCCTGTAAGTACTCCATAATTTAGCTTATGGAGGTTCAACCCCAGCGAAAGGTGTACAACTGTCATGCCCAGAAGCCATCATATCTAAAATCTTTTCAGTACATGGCTCATAAAGTAGATGCTAAATCACTTTTTATAATGAAGCCACATCCACATCAAAAATTTCAAAGGTTGAGACCAAATTCAAATGCACAAGTAGCTCTAATCATAACCCTAAATAAAATAAATATGCCTGTCTTACAAATCTATTCAGTTTAGGGGAAAATGTGCACTAGAAAACTATTTTTATTTATTTTATTAAATAGTTCAATTTTAAAATAATCAAGCCACAATAAACCATCAAATTTTGTGTTTATTAAGCACTTTTTAGCTTAAAATATATCAGTATCATACAAACATTTGTGTTTTTAACCATAAACATTTATATTGCTATAAGAACTGGGATATTTTTGTTATACACCATGTAACAGGCCCATATTACAATCAGGAAAGATATTTAAGAGTTTCATATGTTTCTAAAGATTCATCATAATTAACTTTAGGAAAATTTTATTAGATCCTCATTTATATCTCTTGGTTTTCTCCGATCCTTCTACTCCCAATCCAAATGAATCTCAGAGTCCATTCACTTTGCATAATCTCCATGCCAGCCACAGTTGCCTGTTCTGAGGGTGGTCTTTAAGTCAAATCAGATTGGTCTGTATCTCCTCCTCTGATTGAGTACTCTGGAAACAGTTGATTCAGGAATGAACACCTGGCCCAGGCTTGATTTATTAGTATCCAAGCTGGATTCATCACTTCTCTGGATGAATATATGGATGAGGGACACAGAGTGTTGAATTTCTTGTTAGTATTTGGAAATCTGAGAGCTGTCTATGGGAATGTTTCCACATGGCAATGGACACCAGAGAAGCCAAGGAAAATTTCTGCAGACAGACTATAGCAGATTTCAATGAGGAGCAGAGTCAGGAAGTGAAAAGAAGGGCAGGTGTTTTTCATAGCAATTAAGACATGGCTGGAGATGCCTACATCCAGTGTTACAGTGCTTGGGTTTGAGTCCCTACTCTGCTTCTGATTCAGCTTCCTGCTACTGTGCACTCTGGGAGGCAGCAGGTGATGGCTCAAGTACTTGGGTCCTTGCCAATCACATGGGGGAGCTGGATGAAATTGCAGGCTCCTGTCTTTTTTTCTGGCCCAGCCTTGGCTGTAGCAGCTATCTGGGTAATGAATTAGTGGATGGAAGAGCTCACTCTCTTGTTCTCACTCTCTCTCTCTGCTTTGCAGATAAAAATGAAATAAATAAAATTTTTAAAAAATAGTGTCCTATTGGCTTTTAGTCTTTGTTTCAAGTTCTTCCTGAAGCCCACTTGTATTAGTTGCAAGATTCATAAGATACCCAGTATTATAATAATTATTAAATTTGCTTGAGTTGGGTTTCTGTCAATTGTAACTAAAGTAACAATATAAAAATTATGCTCAAACTAAAAATTGAGTTGATGGTGGGAAGATTCTTTCAGTTGGAAATAGCTCCCAAAAACAAATTAATAAATAAGCTCCACTCCTATTTTAAATATCCCACACTGTTTTAAGCTAATCACCATGAGTATCATCCAAACATCCTTATTAAGTAGCATAAGTAGCATAAACAACAGTAATATCATAGGTTCCTGTTGAGAAGCTCACATTGCAAATAAAGCAACTGCTTAGGAAAATTATCAAGAGGTCATAAATGCCCTAAGAATAAAAAGGAGGATAAAATGGTGGAATATATCTATGCTGGAAGGAGTATAAAATGGAGGAATATAGTAATTGTAAAAATCCATGCTGGAAATTCAAAGGAAGTTCTTTGAAAAAGAAAACACTACTTTTGCTTAGAATACAGAAGACTGAACATGAGTAACGCTCTAAACCTAACAAGAAAAAGAGGACATGATTTACAAAATCATACTCATATTTTCTTGGGGCCATCTGAGACAAAACATTGGCATCCGGGTGAGCTCAATTCCAGAGTGATAAGCTCCTCCGAGGACTATAACACAAATAGTTTCACCTATGTCAGCACAGGAGGAAGAGAGACTATCATAAAACTGAGTCAGACAGAAACAGCTAACATTTTCAACAAACTTTTTCTTTTTTTAAAGATTTATTTATTTTACTTGAAAGTCAGCCTTACACAGAGAGAGAAGGGGAAGCAGAGAGGGAGGTCTTCCATCCACTGGCTCACTCCCCAATTGGCTGCAATGGCCGGAGCGACACCGATTCAAAACCAGGAGCTTCTTCCAGGTTTCCCATGCGAGTGCAGGGGCCCAAGGGCCTGGCCATCTTCCACTGCTTTCCCAGGCCATAGCAGAGAGCTGGATAGGAAGTGGAGAAGCCAGGACTTGAACCAGTGCCCACATGGGATGCTGATGTTGCAGGCGCCGGCCTTACCCGCTACGCCACAGCCCCGGCCCCTCAACAAACTTAATGAGTATGGGCTTGTGTGATAGTTAAGAACATCTCTAGGGAAGAGACCAAAAGAGCCACCTTTGGTGACATGACACCTGTCGTCATTCAATTCTCTCTGCTTCTTGAACAATTCTCTCAAATGAAACAAAAGTCTTAAGCTGTTTTAGCCAAGGAAGACAAAGAAAGAAAAAGCTGTCAGGCTTGAAGGAGGAACAGGAAGCTCCTCTGCCCTCGCAGTGGCTTTAGCACTGAGTAGCAAGCATAAGCAGTTCCCTTAGGGAGGGCCAGGAAACCCTTCTACCACCAGGCACAGGCCAAGGTGGATGAGATAAAGGCAAAATCCATCTGTCCCTAGTGGTAAGGCAGGAAATCAGCATTGGCACAGAATCCTACACTAACAAAAAAAAATCTGCTACAACTGGGAGACAGGTAGGGAACCCAAGAACACGCACAGAGGTAAGATGGAGTTTGTCATAGCGAAGAGAGAGCCTGCAACCCTGGGGTTCATGTGTATAGGGACCACTCAAGACTAAAGCTGATCCAGAAGAAATAAGAGCCTCCATTACTCCCATCATGAGTGTTTCACTGAGAAAAAGCGGTGACAAGAGTATGGAGAGACTCCCTCTGTGACACAAATGTGCAGGGTCTGCTGGGAGCTGAGGGAAGTGCAAGATCACAGGAAAATCAGGCTCAGCCACACCAGGTCAGAAAGTAGCAGTAGCAGCTGGAAACTTCTTACTAGACTCACTCAATCCCCGCACTAGTGATCTGAACGAAGATGCGTAGCCATTTCTGGGCTTAAACTATTTAGCTCAGGCTCTTGTCATATGACATCTGTAGTTTTAAGTTTTCTTAATGAACTGACCCCTGTTTCGTTATTTAATGCTTGTCTCTACCCTGGAAATGTTCCCTGATTTGAAGTCTATTTTGTCTGATATCAGTGTAGTACTCCAGCTTTCTTTTGATTTGTGTTTTCAGAGTAGTCTATTTCCATCCTTTCATTTTAACTTATTTGTCTTAAAATTTCTGTATTTATTTATATTTCTTGAAGATTGCCTATAGTTGGGTCTTACTTTTTTCTTCACTAATCTCTGCCAATTAATTGGTTACACAATTTACATGTAATGCAATTATCCATGTCCTTTGAATTAAATATATCATATTATTATTTGCTTTTATTTCTTCCATCTGTTTCTTTTTTCCTGTTAATATCTTCTTTTGGATTGAGTATTTTTTATAATTCCATTTTATTCACTACCAGTTTATATCACTTGATAAGAAATTCTTACTAGTTGCTCTGGGATTTTCAGCATACATTTTTAACTCATCACAAAGCACCTGTTTTGCAATATTATTAAAGTGGTGTCCTTTCATTTCCCTATCCCTGTTTCTGACTGCCACATCTAACTGGAGTTACCTTAAAAGTGGCATCAGAGGAATTCCACAAGGGAGTGCTCCAAACCTACCTGAGAGGGGGCCAGTCAGGATTCCAAGAAAAGAAGCACTAAATACAAAGATGATTAATCCAAAGAATTTATTAAGGGAACTCACAGACTGCTGAAGTTTATCCTCATGATGGACAGCAAGAGGAAGGACATGTTCTCCCTAGGTATGCCTGTAGTTAACGAGGACAGGTTCCGGAGTTTATATGAGTTTATATGAGGGAGTAAGTTCATGGCTAGTTTCTTTCAGTGTTTTGGACGATGATCAAAACACCTTTATCAGTGCCTGGGAATGTTCAAGGATCCAGCTCAGGTTCAAGCCTGTGAGAAAAACCTGCAGCTGGCTAGGTCATAGAAGAGTCAAGGCAATCAGATTTTCCACTGAGACACAGACAGAAAGTAGGGGGAACAGAGGTCCTCTACACTATAGTTGCAGTTCATTTACTTCTGTATATATTACAAACACATTGTTACTAGGTTTGCTTTATAGATAATGAAATTTAAAAGAATCTTTTGTATTTATTCTCATGGTCCCTCTCCCAGTGTTTTTTCTTTCTGCAGATTTAAATTTAAGATTTTTTTCAGGCCGGCGCTGTGGCTCACTAGGCTAATCCTCCACCTGTGGCGCCGGCACACCGGGTTCTAGTCCCAGTTGGGGTGCCGGATTCTGTCCCGGTTGCTCCTCTTCCAGTCCAGCTCTCTGCTGTGGCCCAGGAAGGCAGTGGAGGATGGCCCAAGAACTTGGGCCCTGCACCCCATGGGAGATCAGGAGGAAGCACCTGGCTCCTGGCTTCAGATCGGCGCAGTGTGCTGGCCGTAGTGGCCATTTCGGGGGTGAACCAATGGAAAAAGGAAGACCTTTCTCTCTGTCTCTCTCACTGTCTAACTCTGCCTGTCAAAAAAAAAAAAAAAAAAGATTTTTTTTCAAATATTTCTTATTAAGCATATTTTTTCAAATATTAAAAACTTAACTATTTATTTTTTTATTTGAAAAGCATAGATGGCTGGTGGTGCTGGGGCTCACTTGGTTAATCCCCCGCCTGTGGCACTGGCACCATGGGTTCCAGTCCCGGTTAGGGTGCTGGGTACTAGCCCTGGCTGCTCCTCTTCCAGTCCAGCTCTCTGCTGTGGCCCAGGAGGGCAGTGGAGGATGGCCCAGGTCCTTGGGCCCTGCACCCGCATGGGAGACCAGGAGGAAGCACCCAGCTCCTGGCTTCGGATCAGCGCGGTGCTGGCCACAGAGGCCATTAGGGGAGTGAACCAATGGAAGGAAGACCTTTCTCTCTGTCTCTCTCTCACTGTCTATAAATCTCTCTCTGTCTCTCTCTCAATGTCTAACTCTGCCTGTCAGAAAAAAAAAAAAAAAAAAAAAAAAAAAACCAGAAAGAAAAGCAGAGAGACAATGTAGAAGAGGAGGGAGAAGGAGAGAGGGTGAAATGGTATTGGGGTAGAGATCTTGCATTTGCTAGTTCAATCCCAAATGCCTACAACAGCCAGGACTGGGCCAAGCCAAAGTCAGGACACAGTAACTCCATCTGGATCTCCCACTTGGGTGTCAGGAACCCAAGTACTTGAACCATCAACAGCTGCATTCCAGAGTATTAGTAAGTAGGAAGCTGGATCAGAAGTGGAAATGGGACTGGTTTGTTATTGCTATTGTTTTTGTATGCCGATTTTTGTATCCTGCAAGTTTACTGAATTCATTTTTAAATTTAAAATTCTGACTGTTATTACATTCTTTATGTTGGACATACTTTTTTAACTTTTATATTGGAGTTCTACTGGTGCTGGATTCTCTTAGCTTTTTTGTTTTATTTGCTTGAAAAAATATTGCACATTTAAGCTTTGTGGTTTTTTTGGTGGGTTTAGAATTCTGAGTTGAGAGATTTTTTTTTCTTTTTGCTATCTAAAGATGCTTCTCTGCTATCCTTTGTCTTACCTACTTTCTGATGAGGAGTTCAATTTTAATTTTGCACCTTTATACATAATGTTTGTCTTACTATAGTTGCTTTCAGAATTTTGTCTTCACCCCCCCCTCCTTTTTTTTTTAGCAATTAGCTAGGTATGCATGAGGACTATCTTTTTTAGCTTTCTATATTTTCTTGATGAGAGCTAGCTTGGAATTCTGGAAAATACTTTTATTATTATTGTTAGGTTAATAAGCATTTAATAAGTAGAGAAGACAGGTTTTATACTTCATTCTGCCATGTAAATTTCCTTAATAGATGCTAAGGATATTCATATAATTTTCTTTTCACAAGTCTAAAGGTTCTTGATAGGCTCCATGGACCATGTGACCCAGATGGAGCTTCAGTCTCCTGGATTCAAACTGGCCTAACACCAGCTGTCTCAGACATTTGGGGAGTGAACTAGCAGAAGACAGATCTGTCTGATTCTTTCTATCTGCCTTTCAAATAAATTGAAAATAAATAAAATAAAAATTTAAAAAAAAACAAGATTATATTTGGTAATAGGATTACAAATGTATTATTTTACATCCATTTTTATTATTCAATTTGCTCATATTTGTTATACTTATAAGAAGAAATTAAAAGTTATTTTTATCTTGTTTTAGTTAAAAATCTATTATACAGTATTTGGAAATAGTGTGAGTTCTGAACACACATAACACAACTGTGCTAAAATAGATGTATATCAAATACTTTTTAGTATTCTGTAGGCACTTGAGCACTTGGATACATCATTTACTAACAGAAACAATCACTCTGTAATTCCTATTTTCCTGAAATGTGGATATTTACTTGGCAGATTCTCTCACACAGGGCTATACCTGTATTCTACTTTCATAAATAAATGAATTCCAGAAGATTCACAGCCTGCCTTGTGAGGTACACATATATCTAAGGCCTAGGAGCAACTTTGTAAAAACTGGGTATTAAGTAAAAGCTATGAACAACCTTTAAATATGTTTTCTGCTATGTGCTCTCTAAAATGCATACCAGTCTGGTGGGTAGAAAACAGAAGTCAGAAATGAAGACTACATTTCTATCTCGTGCTTACAGACTTGCAGGCCCACAGAAAGATCCCATGTCCTTGACAGAGCCATCCATTCTCCTAAGAAGTGTAGGATGGGAGCACATTTTTCTCAAGTTAAGTTACACTATAAAAGAGGATAGTTGATTCTGGTTTTTGAGTTCACATTCCAATAGATCTGACACTGACCTTGAATTGTTGCAAATAATAAATGTTGAGGCAGGCAACTGAAAGAAAGCAAGCTACTGCAGTTTTAACCCCCCTATATACCAAGATAGGTACTCTCTTGGGATGGTACTAGTTCACTTAGTTTGAAGAAGAGAGTGCCCTTGTTTAGAAAATCCTGGAACACTTAATGGCTGTTATACACTGAGGAATGATTCCTCTCTTATCAGTCTGGTGAAGAATTCTTGATAAAACCCTCCCTCTCGTCCTACAGAAATAAATCTGTACCTAACATCAGAGAATCAATAACATATCAATGCTCTCAGCTATCATGCATGGATTCCACGGTGTACTTTCCTGTCCAAAGCTCCAAGTTTTCAATCACATCAATCTACTACAGCAGTAATGTAACCTGCAATATATCATTGCTGCATGAACCAGTAGGCATATGCTGATGTTATCAACTGCAGGCTAGGAAAAAAACGTAAGGTGACAATGCCGCCCAAGGACAGCAGCTGCTGACAATGAAGAGAACACCTCAAAGGAAAAGCAATTACACAAACCCTGAAGTACTCTAAATACACAAGATGCAAAAAATAACAATCATTCAGTTGTATAATTTCTTTTTGAGCATTATTCACCTTCTTTTAGAAAGCATGGGTCTACTAACAGGTCTCTTAAGAAGATGATATCTGCTGAATAGCTTAAAGAAACACTAAAAAATATCCAAGGAAGTAGTACTCAGTCTTTACAGGTTGCTAGATTTTAGACCAGACTCAGAAAAGACAGATTGAGACTTCATAGACATATTAACATAGAGCTTTTGCATGTTCCTGCAAAAATTAAATAGGTGATCTGCATTGCAGTTACATAAATTGTTCCACTTTTTGATCAGTAAATCAACAAAGGTGGTAAACTTCTTCACCTTTGCCAACCCATGAGCCACAAATTTCCATAAGAACTGTGAAACAATGGAGCATCTCTTATTTCTGTGGAAAGTTTCTGAATTCTATAAGCTTTTCCAAATTCTGTTCAAGACTACAGAGAAAGACGGAAGGCAGGAAAAAAAAATCTAGTGATACATTTAAACCAAACTAGGGCCTGTCACAAATATAAAGTAACTGATGTCACTGAATGCAATAAACATTCGGTGAAAACAAGGGAGAACGGTGGTGAAGAGAGTTTGTGAACAGAGATGTGTTGCTCTAATACATCTTGGGAAGCCCTTCTAGACTATCAGTTTTTTTAAGGGAAATAAATTGACGAGGCTCCCAGTAATAATGACATCACAATTTATTCTTGTGCTGTTTATTGCTTTCCATGATAGAATTTCAACCTTTTATAATAGAGCTCCCTTAAAAAATAGACTACTTTCTATATGAGTAAATGTGACACCCAGCAAACTGCAAGAAAAGCTTTCTACACATCTTGAAACACAGACAGATAAGATGTATTGTAAAGATTTATCTTACCGTACAGCTTTTGGCCCAAAGTACAGGAAGAGCTCCTTCCCCAAAGTTTCCACACCACTATAAACATATCCATGGAATTGTCTTGAGACATTCTGGATGTAATAATTATTATCATTCAATGCAGAATCCTAGTAGAAAATATATATGTACATGTAAACACACAAACGCTAAATAAAATGACAATTTAATTCCTAAATGTATTTATATTACTTCAGGTCCAGGTACATTCCAATGAGAAGAATAATCTCCAAAAGTTGAGTAACATAATCAGCTATTTACATACTTTTTGTCAAATTACTATGCAATCATTTAAAAAGACAGCAATCAAAAAATTAAGTGAAGAAAATAATTGGCAGACAATCTAAATGCATTTCTTCTAGTACCATATAGTCCTGCTTACAGGAAATAAAAACAAAGGAAAAACAATGTATTTTAAAACTTAAAACAGGAATAAATTTCTTTCATTTACAGAAATACAGACCAGTTCTCTGAAAAAGTGTTTCATAGAAACAATTTAAAATGATGGATAAAGTATGAAATAAGGGGCCAGAACGTGGCGCAGCATGTTTTGCCGCTGCCTGTGATGCTGGTATCCCATATGAGTTCTGGTTTGAGTCCCAGCTGCTCCACTTCTCATTCAATTCCCTGCTAATGTGTCTGGGAAGGCAACAGAAGATGGTCCAAGTGCTTGGGCCCCTGAACACATGTGGGAGACTCAGATGGAGTTCCAGGCTCCTGGCTTTGGCCTGGTTAGCCCCAGCCAATGTGGCCATTTGGGGAGTGAATCCGCAGATGGAAGATCTCTCTCTCTCTCCGTGTCTCTTTCTCCTTCTCTCTCTGTTACCCTGCCTTTCAAATAAATAAACTAATCTTAAAAAACTAAATATGCATGAAAATAAAATATTATAACTGCTTTGATGAACTTTTAAGTAAGGAAGGAACAGTAAGAGGTCAAAATAGAAGAGAATTTGAAGGAGTACATAGGCAGAGTATGCAGCCAGCTTTCACCATCAGGGCATTTACTGGCCTAAAGAATGAGAGACTCAATTTGCATGGTCATGTGTGGGTGCAGGGAATCAGGGATAAAAGCCAGAAGTCCCTGGGGAGGAGAATCTACTTTGATATATGCTCTGCTCTGACCACAATGTTAGGAACAGAGAAAAATAAATGTTTATAGCCTTTCCCCATCAACCTTGCAAAACCAAACAATTTATTAATAAGATTACAGTATAAAAAAAAGAAAAAAAAGATTATAGTATAAGTACTAAATACTATAGGAAAATCAAAGAAATTGTGAACTGAAATAAACATTACTTACAAAATACAAGTTCTGCCAAAGTAGGAAAGGAATAGGATTTGGTTTAGATATTGATAATGATCTTTTTCTTAAACTATTCATTACATATGTGTGTGTGTATGTATATATATATATATATATATATCAGTGTTCCTTGTATCCTTTTTAAAATCTATATATGTTTAATAAACATTTAATTTTATAATAAAATTTTAATAAAAATTTAAGGCTTATAAATGCATAACTATTATACCAGGATATTTCAAAAAGTTCGTAGAAAATAAAATTGAAGGGTAAGTTTATTTTGGTGTAAAAGAAGTTTGAAATCTATATTATTTTCTTTTTCTTTTTTGTTTTTGTTTTTGTTTTTTTTTTTTGACAGGCAGAGTGGACAGTGAGAGAGAGAGACAGAGAGAAAGGTCTTCCTTTTTCCGTTGATTCACGCCTCAATGGCCGCTGTAGCTAGCACACTGTGCTGATCCAAAGCCAGGAGCCAGGTGCTTCTGGTCTCCCACGCAAGTGCAGGGCCCAAGGACTTGGGCCATCCTCCACTGCACTCCGGGGCCATAGCAGAGAGCTGGACTGGAAGAGGAGCAACAGGGACAGAATCCGGCGCCCCAACCGGGACTAGAACCTGGTGTGCCGGCACTGCAGGCAGAGGATTAGCCTATTGAACTGAGGTGCTAGCCTATATTATTTTCTAATATGTATTGACTATGAAGCTTTTTAAGATCTCTCATGTGAATGGATTTCAAAAGTTTTTGTATCATCCTGAAAAAATAACAAAACAACAAAAAGTTTTTGAACCAATATAGGGCTATCAATTCCATTTTCCATGAACTTTGTGAAACACTGATATATAAGATAAAATAGGCACATATAATTATACCTACACATTAACTTTTTTTTTTACAATTTTTTTAAAACTTTTATTTAATCAATATAAATTTCCAAAGTACAGTTTTTGGAATATAATGGCTTCCCCACCAATAACCACCCTCCTACCCACAACCATCCCATCTCCCACTCCCTCTCTCCTCCCATTCTTAAGATTCATTTTTAATTATCTTTATATACAGAAGATCAATTTAATACATGCTAAGTAAAGATGAACAGTTTGCACCCACACAGACACAGAAAGTATAAAGTACTGTTTGAGTACTAGTTATAGCATTAATCCACATTGTACAACACATTAAGGACAGAGATCCTATATGGGAAGTAAGTGCACATGACTCCTGTTGTTGACTTAACAAATTGACACTCTTGTTTATGGCGTCAGTAATCACCATAGGCTCTTTTTTTTACTTACTAAATATAAATTTCCAAAGTACAGTTTATGGATTACAATGGCTCCCCCCCATAATTTCCCTCCCACTCACACCCCTCCCATCTCCCGCTCCCTCTCCCATTCCATTCACATCAAGATTCATTTTCAATTCTCTTTATATACAGAAGATCAATTTAGTATATATTAAGTAAAGATTTCATCAGTTTGCACCCACACAGAAACACGAAGTGTAAAATACTGTTTCAGTACTAGTTATAGCATTACTTCACATTGGACAACACACTAAGGACAGATCCACATGAGAAGTAAGTACACAGTGACTCCTGTTGTTGACTTAACAATTTGACACTCTTGTTTATGACATCAGTAATCTCCCTAGGCTCTAGTCATGAGTTGCCAAGGCCATGGAAGCCTTTTGAGTTTGCCGACTTCGATCTTATTCCGACAGGGTCATAGTCAAAGTGGAAGTTCTCTCCTCCATTCAGAGAAAGGTACCTCCTTCTTTGATGGCCCTGTTCTTTCCACTGGGATATTACTTGCAGAGATCTTTCATTTAGGTCTTCTTTTTCTTTTTCTTTTTCTTTTTTTCAGAGTGTCTTGGCTTTCCATGCCTCAAATACTCTCATGGGCTCTTCAGCCATATCCGAATGCCTTCAGGGCTGATTCTGAGGCCAGAGTGCTATATAGGATATCTGCCATTCTATGAGTCTGCTGTGTGTCCTGCTTCCCATGTAAGATCATTCTCTCCCTTTTTTATTCTATCAGTTAGTATTAGCAGACACTAGTCTTGTTTTTGTGATCCCTTTGATTCTTAGACCTATCAATGTGATCAATTGTGAACTGAAATTGATCACTTGGACTAGTGAGATGGCATTGGTACATGCCACCTTGATGGGATTGTATTGGAATCCCCTGGCAGGTTTCTAACTCCACCATTTGGGACAAGTCTGATTGAGCATGTCCCAAATTGTACATCTCCTCCCTCTCTTATTCCCACTCATATTTAACAGGGATCACTTTTCAGTTAAAATTTAAACACCTAAGAATAATTGTGTGTTAATTAAAGAGTTCAACCAATAGTACTGGAACAAAACAAAAATAATAATAAAATGGATAAAGTATTACATTGTACATCAACAGTCAGGACAAGAGCTGATCAAGTCACTGTTTCTCATAGTGTCCATTTCACTTCATCAGGTTTCCCCTTTGGTGCTCAGTTGTTGCCGATCAGGGAGAACATATGATATTTGTCCCTTAGGGACTGGCTTATTTCACTCAGCATGATGTTTTCCAGATTCCTCCATCCTAGGCTCTTGTCATGAGCTGCCAAGGCTTTGGAAGCCTCTTGAGTTAGCCAACTGTGATCTTATTTAGACAAGGCCATCGTCAAAGTGGAAGTTCTCTCCTCCCTTCTGAGAAAGGTACCTCCTCCTTTGATGGCCCATTCTTTCCACTGGGATCTCACTCACAGAGATCTTTCATTTAGGTAATTTTTTTTTTTTTGCCACAGAATTTGTATACACCAGGCAATGCCACGACTGAGAAAGAACTTCTAAGATTGATCCCATTCACAATAGCCACAAAACAATCAAATACCTTAGAATAAACTTAACCAAGGACATCAAAGATCTCTATGATGAGAATTACAAAATCTTAACGAAAAAAATAGAAAAGGATACCAAAAAATGGAAAAATCTTCCATGCTCATGGATTGGAAGAATCAATATAATCAAAATGTCCATTCTCCCAAAAGCAATTTATAAATTCAGTGTGATACCAATCAAAATACCAAAGACATTCTTCTCAGATCTGGAAAAAATGATGCTGAAATTCATATGAAACACAGGAGACCCTGAATAGCTAAAGCAATCTTGTACAACAAAAACAAAGCCAGAGGCATCACATTACCAGATTTCAGGACATACTACAGGGCAGTTGTAATCAAAACAGCATGGTACTGGTACAGAAGCAGATGGATAGACCAATGGAACAGAATAGAAACACCAGAAATCAACCCAAACATCTACAGCCAACTTATATTTGATCAAGGATCTAAAACCAATCCTGGAGCTAGGACAGTCTATTCAATAAATGGTGCTGGGAAAATTGGATTTCCACCTGCAGAATCATGAAGCAAGACCCCTACCTTTCACCTTATACAAAAATCCACTCAACGTGGATTAAAGACCTAAATCTACAACCCAACACCATAAAATTATTAGAGAACATTGGAGAAACCCCACAAAATATAGGTACCGGCAAAGACGTCTTGGAAAAGACCCCGGAAGCACAGGCAGTCAAAGCCAAAATTAACAATCGGGATTACATCAAATTGGCAGGTTTCTGTGCTGCAAAAGAAACAGTCAGGAAAGTGAAGAGACAACCGACAGAATGGGAAAAATATTTGCAAATTATGCAACAGATAAAGGGTTAATAACCAGAATCTACACAGAGATCAAGGAACTCCACAACAATAAAACAAACAACCCACTTAAGAGATAGGCCAAAGACCTCAGTAGACATTTTTCAAAAGAGGAAAT